CGGCAGCATTAGGTAAAGGCAAGACAGCACTGGCGTGCACCTTGTCCTCTGTCTCTGACGTGACAGGCTCTGCAGGGTTGTGGGGTTCAGTGATTCCTGGCTGGGGGCTACTTGGCTGGACAGGAGATATCTTGAGGATGGGGCCCACGTCAAAACATAGATTCATTTGGGTCTCGCAGGCGTCCATTCGTTACACAGCATTTTCAATGCACCTGTGCTTAATGGTCACCCACCAGGTGAGGGCAGGCACCGTCTTCCCACTTGCGGGGGCATCTCAGCCTTCGAGAAGCTTTGGCTTTGTAGGCTTCTGGATTTGGGGCTGCTCAGCCTCTCCTACTCTATACAAATGGTAAGAACCCTGGGAAGCAGCACAGCATCAAAAGATGCCGCAGGCGGAAGACATAGACAAGCTGAGCCCCCATGACCAGTGGGTAAGAGGTGCACATTTGCCTCTTGCACAGGGATGATGAAGCGGAAGTTAGAGACTGCGCCTGCGCCTGCGTGAGGCTGAGGTCAGGAGGAGGCCGACCTGGCTCTGCTGCTGAAACAGAAGTCGGGCTGGAAGCCAAGACCCCACGTGGATGGCGGTACTTTGGTCACTGTCTTCACTGTTTGACATGGTGGTGTGCCGAAGAGGCAGTGAGAACGCTCCACAAGCTGGTGGAGGTGCTATGATTTAGGCCGAGGTGACCCCAACAGCCTCACGCACCCACAGTTGGGGCTTCTAGAACAGACTGGATTATGGTGGTTTGCAGCTGGCTTGCTGTGCGGAGGTGGGGCTGACTGAGGGCCCCTGGGATGTGGCCGGAAAGGTTTCTCTCCCCACCAACCCCTCCTGTTCTCACTCCGCTCCCTGCCTGCCATGCTGTAAGCGCTGCTCTTCCTCCGGGCCTTCCACCAGGCCTCCCTGCTTTGAAACTGGCTGAGCACGAGTGAAGATGGTACCCCAAATGAACCTCTCCTTCTTCAGTTCGTTGCTGTTGGCACCGAGTCCCAGTGCAGGAAAACGAGCGAGACAGCGGGGAGCCTGGAAGGCTGCCCCAGTTCCCAGCAGGGAGTTCCACAAGTTGCTAGCGCCCAGTCCTCGTGTCTTTGCTTGCGGCTGAGGCCTGGGCCTCGGGTGAGAGAGCCACAGAGGGCCGGGGCCAAGGCCAAGTCCCGGCCCAGCCCCTGGACCTCTGTGAAAATTTATTTTAAAAATAGCTTTCTGGGGCTAGGGAGATAGTTCAGTACAATAAGTGCTTGCCTAGGAAGCACAAGGGCCTGAGTTCAATCCCAGTTCTAAAAAAAAAAAAAAAGTAACTTTCTTTCTGATTGAAAATTATACATTGGGCCTGGTGAGATGGCTCAGTGGTCTAAAGCACCTACTTAGAACAAGCTTAACAAAGCACAGAGACAGCGGTTCAATCCCCCAGCACCACATGCCAGCCGGCCCCGCCCCCTGGTGGGCTGAGCTGGCCACACACACACACACACACACACACACACACACATAAATTTAAAAACATATTTAAAAAAAAGAAAATTATACATTCATTATAAAACATAACAATCCAGAAAATTATGAGACATAGAACTAAATCCATCCATCTCCCATCACCCACAGGTGACCTCTCTGGACCTATTTACTAAACATTTTGTTTTTCTGTTTGTATAGTTAAAAAATGTCTTCTTAGAACAGAGTTCTAGATAAGGAATTTCCACATCAAATGATATGCTTATTTTAAATTTTAGCACATATTACTAATCTGCTTGTTTGTCAAAGTTCACCTGGATTTTTCAGAAAAATAGAACCAGTAGGAGGTAGAGAGAAGCAAAGGAGAGGGAGTGAAATTTGTGATTTTTGCATCAGTTGGTTTGAAGACCTTCAGGCCGACAGCACCAATGTCCAGTTCAAGTTTAAAGGCGAACACGTTGCTGCTACAAAACCAAGAAGAACTGGTGGATATTTCAAAGCGAATTCTCTCTCCCTTGGGGCTGGCAAGACCTTGCTCAGACTGGGGCCTACTCAAGCTCTTGTTTAGGGGAGACTCGCCCACACCACAGAGGGTGACCTGCTTTACTCAGCCCCCTGCCCAGACATTAGCCTCATCCAGCCTCCCACCACAGAAGCACCCAGCACAAGGCTGTCAAAATAGCTGGGCGCCCTACAGCCCGGAAGGTGCCTTAACCCTGTGCAGATCCCTGCCTGTGGTTAGGAGCCAATGCAGGCTTTTTAAAAGCTTTACAAGGATGTGAATACAACCCACAGAAAACATGCTTCAAGCGTTCAGCTGCTCCCAGGCCACAGAGATGGAGCGGGGTGCTCTAGCGTGGTGCCAGGGAGTGGCAGCAAGCTCAGCTCCCACCCGGGCACGCGACTGCGAGGCCGCCACCTGCCTTACCCCAGAAAACTGCAGGCTGGTGAGTCACATGTAGTAGTTTATTTGCTCATGGTACTAGAATTTGGTAGGTCCAGGGCCAAGGGCTGGTCAGGGCTTTCTCGCTGCGTGGTAAACAGGGCAGAAGGGCAAGAGGGCCATGCAAGAAGACAAGGACAGATGGGTCAGACACCCACTCGAGCCAGAACCGCCCCAGCCCCTCAGTGATGCCTTTACCCCATTCCTAATCGGCCACTCTTCCACATCCTGCCTCCCAACCCTGGTGCTCTGAGGGTTAAATTACCAGCACAACCTTTGTGGACAGATTCTATCCACAGAAACAGCCAGTTCTCCACCACGTTGCCAAGCCTTGGTGTCCAACAGATTGAGTGTAATAAGTGTATTCTTAACCTCCGATATTGTCAAGCCACAGTAGGTCTATTTGGACCCTGAGCATCTATGACACTGGAGGCTGTTGAATCTTTATGGATCCAATTCGACATTTTCTCCATGGCTTCGGTTTTCCATGCTGTCCCATTTCCCAGAGCTCCGACAGTATCCCTTGTGGTGGGTTTCGGCAGCCGACAAGAGCAGGGGTGTCCAGCCGCTGAGTTCAGAAAGCTCCTGTGTAGACACCACTCACCCTACTGGTCACCTGCAGGGCCCAGTTCCAGCTCCTCTCCTAAATACTCCGCATAGTGCTAGGGGATCAGAACCAAGCCACCCTCTCACCGTAATTTTAGAAGCCCTCCATCAGCACTTGACCGGGCCTGGCCGGGGCTGGGTTACCAGCTGGGTGCCAGCAGGAACTCCAATGTGATCACAGAAAGTAAACACAAGTCCTCCCAGCAACAGCTGTGTGGCTATGCTCCTGGGACACTGTCACCACTTGGATCCATGAGTCCTCAACATGCCCACGTGCTGAGCACAGGCTAAAGCCGGACTGGGAAGTCAGGGCTGTGGGCCTGGACAGCTGCTCTGGCTTCATCCAACCTGTCCTGGACCCAAACTTCTAATTCTGTTCAACGCTAAAGAACAGTTAACCCTAAAACAAGACTGCTTAAAGGTCAAACGGGGCTCAGGGGCGAAGTGCTAGTCATGGATCTCATCTGGAAATCTCTCCCAAACTGGCCAGAAGCAAGGTCTGCTGTTGCTGTTTGTTTGTTTCCTTCCAGTGCTATGAGTGTGCGGTGGACCTGGGACCCGGGACTGTAAACCACAGCACCTGCCACCTCAGAGACAATCTATAAGGCTGGATGGACAGATGGACAGATGGACAGATGGACAGAAGGATGGATGGGTGGATAGAAATTCCAAGTCCAGTGTCACTGGATACCGGAGGGTGTCCTAATCACTTTTCTCATCGCTGGGACAAAATATCTGACAGCCCTTCCCAGCTCCTCCAGGTCACACCCCAGTGACCTCCCCACTGAGCCCCACCTCCTCAGATGTAGTTAGCTACAAACTCATCAGGGCATCAAACCACCCATGAGTACAGCACCCCCACTCACCCCCAAGTTCCTGCTAACCGGGACGCACAGATTTATTTAACCTATTTTACTGCCACTAACTAAATGGAAACCTCTTACTCCTCTAAACAATTCTGCTGATCTGTGTGCCGCTGAAGTGATTAATTAAAAGTCAATAAATAGCCTGCTTTGGCAAGCACAGGGACTGAGGTTCAATCCCTGGTCCCCAATGCCACACTGGCCCACAGCCCTCAGGTGCGCTGAGCAGGCAACCAAGTCCAGGCGTGGTAGCGCATGCCTGTAATCTCAGTGCTGGGAAGGCTGGAAACAGGAGGATCACTACAAGTCTGAGCTGTACAGTAAGACCCTATACCAAGTACATAAATAAAAAATTGAATAAATAAAAGGTAATAAAGTGAATAATAAAAGGCGTTAAAGTGAATACCTAGCATACTTGTTTTCCAAATTCCATGCCCTTTCCTGCTACCGGTGGGGCATGCATTAAGCTAACTGTCTCTACACGCTATGCATTGACCTGGGCTGAGTACCGTCCTCCCCATTATCCACAGAGACCTGACTCCATGACTCCTGCATTCACCGAGATCTGTGCATACTCAAGTCCCTTACGTACTGGGCAAGAGCTGTTCCTGCGGTGTGGGAGGGGCTGGGAGGACAAGCTTACTCCAGACACACACTCAGGGGCCGAAGAGGCCTTGTGGCTGCCCCAGGTTGGGGAAGCCGTGTACCCATGACCAGGCAAGGGTGTCCTACAGCGCCTTCCGAGCCTACAGCTGTGGTCACCAAGTAGGCCCTGGAGCCTCCTAACCCTGCTTGGCCCCCCCCACCCTGTGCACCAGGGAGGTGCGAGGTGGGGGGGACTGACAGCTGCCCCCACCCTGTGCCCACTGCCCAGGGCTCCTTGAGGGCTCCCAGCCCACTGGGCGACCAGTGGGCTACCCTCCTAGAGGCTGTGCCACCGTCTGGCAGGGCAGGACCATTCCTGGCACCTGTGGCTTTCCTCTTGACTGTTCTTTGGCTTGCTGGGCTGTCCTTGAAGCAGGCGGGCCACATGGGGACAAGGGGCATGCGACAGCCCCTTCCCATGAGGCCCACGCTCCCTATATTCGGACACCTTAAAAGGCTTGCGGGAGCCGATGCTGGGCTCTTATCTCCAGGCCCTGCGTTCAGGAGGTGCATTATTTATAGCTCTTCCACCAGAGAAGGGGAGCCAGGAGGCCGGTGTGTGGCAGCTGCCATCCCTGGCCAGCTGCAGGGAGAAGATAGGGCTGCGACAGCGACACCGAGGTAAGGCCCTAAGTGTCCTCCTCTCCCCTACTGGCCGCCCCAGCCTGTGTCTGCTGTGCCAGGCTCAGATGCCAGCCGCGCTGGCTCCTCACTCTGTCCACGAAGCGTCCAGCCCGGGAGGGACACCCCGCATGCCTCAGCGCGTACGGGTGCCAGCAGAGCCCAGGTGGCTCCAGACCCCGTTCCCACCAGCACCCAGTCCCACAGGGCCGGCAAAGCAGAGGCTGCAGGGACAGAGCAGGACCCAAAAGACGCCGCCGAGCGAGCAGGGCACACTCGGCCCTGCCGTCACCCTCGTGCGGGGAGCGGGTCTGCTCATGGGAAACAATATTTTGAAAGAGAGAGGGAGAGAAGAAAAATTGTAAAATAAACATCGGAAGGGGGTGAGAATGCAGCGCTTGAGACTTTTCTGCGTGACAGAATTTCCAGATTCCCGGGGGCAAAGGCGAGCCGATGGTGACGCAGGGACTGTGTTTACACAAGGTGACTCATCCCAGCTGGGACGAAAGCACAGCCCGAGAAGCCTGCGCTGAGAAGGAAGTCGCGGGTGCTGGGCCGGTTTCTAGCGCAGAGCACGGGCGAAGGTGGGGGCCGAGGCTCACGGGGGCTGCTCTGGCAGGCTGGCGCGATCTTCGCTGAGGGAAGGGAGGTGTGATGAGTGGCACCCGGCGAGCCAGACCCTAAAATCAGTGTCATGCCAGCTTGCTTGTTGGATTCAAACATGCTAGAGTCCAGAGAGCTGGCAGAGCTGAGCCGCAGGCCGAGGCTGCCACCTCACTGCCACCTCGCCACTGTGTGTCTGTTTGCCGTGGCTGTTTTCTCCATTCCTTGAGCAGTGCTGTGTGGATTTTGTGTTGCTGCTCGGAATCCGACAAGATGTGCGTGATACAGCCTCTGACATGCTGCCGTTGGCGCTCTCCTGCGTGTTGTGGGGCGTGTCCGACAAGCTGACTCATGAGCCAA